ATCTATCAATGGTTTGTAGTGAGAGATGTTTTGTATGGTTCCTCTCATCCAGTCACTGAGTAGCTGCAGCTATTGAGGTAGAGGCGGAAACATCGACATTCAGAGTGAGTGTTACCTCCACTGGTGGGAGAGCTTCTCAACATGACTGTCTCTGGACCTAATGGATTCAACTCTGACATCAGTACCAACATACAGCAGTGGGTACTAGGAGGTACTGGGCAGTGACAGATACACGTGCCATGACAGATGTCTATCAGTGGGCAGAGTTGGAGATGTATTCCAATGCAAGTGTCCTACGTAGTGTACATCAACAACTGCTAATGTAACTGTAGGAGGTAAAATTGTTTTTTTAACGTTTTTATAGAAGATGTACCCTGTTCTACTGTAGCTGTCATAACCTCACTGGAGCAAACAGCTCCCACTACTGTTAGAGTGACCTGGTCTCCAATACCAGAACAACTCCCAGTGTCGTACAGATACACTATCTCCTAGCTGGGGGAACTGTGGAAATGGGACTAAGACAGTTAGTGGAAACACATCTAGTACTGAAATCTCTGGTCTCACTAACGGAGAAACCTACATCATCTCAGTAGAAGCTGTTTTCAGCTTACCCATTTTCCTACCTGGAATTTCTGCCGAAAAGATTATTACCCTGGGTATGCACTATATTATCCCTCCACTACCACAATAACCAAACACACAGCTTTCCTTTACTCCCTTTTACCCACTCACCATTTTAACCACAGCTCCAGATACTCCCGAAAGGCTATTGGTTACTTAATGCAGATTCGCCAGTGTCAGAGTGTCCTGGTGCAGTAGAAGATGGCGAAAGATACACTGTCACATTCTCTCAAGTTCGGGGATATTATCAGCAGGGGCAGTGCAAACGTACTGACTCTCATACTGCCACTCTGACAGTCAGTGCTCACCTCCCACTACTGCCAGTATTGCTGTTGGAGGAGATGTGGGGTCAACAGTGACAGATGAGTTGAGAGCCTACACCACATATGAGGTGACTGTGAAGGCAGTCGGTAATGTCAGAGGTACAAGTCGACCTAGTGAGACCAAGAGAGTTCTAACACCACAGACAAGTAGACCCACTAAATTGTCTCACAGTCTGTGTGTAATGTGTGTGCGTGTACAGGTGTTCAGAGAGGCTCCAGGGGATGTGAGAGCAGAGGCTGAGAGCTCCACTGAGATCTCTGTCCAGTGGAGTGGCCTCTCCAACTGTAGACTGGTCAATGGTCGAATCACTAAATACAGAGTTCAATATGAGACTTGTTCAACGACTGAGACTAGAGACTATACTCTGGGAGATAGTGAAAACTGGAACAGTGGAGGACGAGTTACTATGACTGGACTGAGTCCCTTCACAAAACTATTCCATATCAGTAGCAGCTGTGAATGAGAATGGAGACGTGGACTATATTCTTCTGACCCCTCAACTGTACTAACTCTGCAAGCAAGTATCACATGTACAATCATAGTGTGTCTTATGTGTGTAGCATACTGAAAGTATTTCAGTGATAGTAGCTGTGTTGTGAAACCATCATAACACAGACAGTGGCCCTGACTCTGAGTCTCCATGTGCATACATGTTAGCTTTGTATATTTTGTGCTATCAAAAAATCACTATAAATCACAAGCAAGCCATCCTTCATGTATTCAGAATGTCCCGCATAATAAACTGCGTACTGCACTTTTCTTTCTCTAGCTACATCAGACTCGTGCATTCAGAGTGATTCATCGGCATTGGTAGCATATCTTGGTGGTGTGTTGGGAGTGGTGATTGTGACTGCTATAGTAGTGCAGGCTATGGTGATAGTCTTTTTCATCAGGAAACTCCAAAGAGCTAAAGGTAACATGACTATGGACCACCATCAAAAACAGTCAACACTTTTTTTTCTTTTTATGCAGCCTCCACGAACACTACTGGCGTAGAAATGCCTACATTGTCAGGAAATAAATATCTGTAGGTTAAGTGCCACAAACAGAGGGTCAATAGTTCAATTTTACTTCTTTCTACTGTCAATTGTGCCTTGTTCCATCAGGGGCTCGGAGCAGCTCCAGACCTCCAGTAATGAGGCCTACAATGTAGTGAGAGGGACTGGAAGTACAGCTGAAGGTGAATATGAGGTAATACGAGACCTTCCTCCCTCCACCTCCTCCCAGCCTACCACTGCTGCTGCTGGAGACTCTCTCTATGAGTCTGTGTGATGTGTCCCTACATTACTGTTCAGTATCTGACTACTGCAGACATGCATGAAATATTATCGTGCATACTTAGTTATTAATATGTGATGATGTGTAGTACTGAATTAGCAGAGGAGTGATCTATGCACTGGTTGACTAGTTAAAAAGTACAAACTCCGCAACGAACTGAAATTGTATAAGGGGAACGGTAGCTCAGGGTTAGCCATTGTTGGCATGTAATTATGTTGATTTGCTAGTAAACACAAGTCGAGAGAGTAAACTCTCATGGATTCCTTTATACATAATTGGTCTATCTTCCACCCACACCCCAGAACAAAATGACGCACCGAACACGCGAAAACAGTGAAAGAGTTCCCCCTCAAGTTTCATGCTGCAAGTCAATATGACGTCTCACATGATTGACACAAAATTCATGTAGGGATGCACATGATCAAACACATCATCATGTCACAGTTTGAGTCTTCATCTTCTTCTCGGGAGGAGGCTGTGGAGATTTCTCGTCAGCTCTGGTGTCGGAGGTGGGGAGCTTATTGGCCGAGCCTCTCTGGTGGCGCATCCTCTCCTCCTTGCGGGCCAGGTACTGGGTCATGTTGTCAATGGTGGTCTTCCGCAGACTGCACCACTCCATACCTTCCCCACACTCTGGAAGGGAGTACATTATGGCGGTGTTAAGTAGGGTTCTAAGGTAGTCTGGTGGAGCCACACTCAAGAGACCCTTCTCCTTCGTGCTAGTGCTAGTGGGCGGTGTAGCTCTACCAGACTAGTTCTCGGGAGAAGAATACATACTTGCCTTCTCATGTTTCTTAGTACACTAAACAACCACGACCCAAACACCCTGCTTAGCTTAGGCTATTGGTTTGTTGCTTGGACCATGGTTCCCGATTTTCCGATGATGGTGGGGGAGGTGGGAAGGGTCCAGGAAATTTTAAGGTATTTCATCAAGGTGTGTGCCACTTGATTTTGTACCCACTGCCTTAAACACCTGGGGTAGTGAGATGTCAGTTGGACGACCAGATCCTGGGTTTCTTTGCTGCAACATTGTGCACTAGAGTTGTGTTTTTCCAACCTCACTATACTTGGTACAGTTTTTAAGATGGTGTAACTAAGGGCAGTCTGTAATCACTGGACTGGACTACTGGACTGACCTTTGACCGCAGTTTGTACATGCGCAAGAGAATCACTCGGCTTTACCATAATTATTTCTGTCTTTTTTTGCTTTTTTTGCTGCTTTACTGGCGTATGCAATAATAACTATTGAACTATTGAACTCCAGAGATCGTACATTCTGACCATCTGTCTGCTCTCAGCGCCTCATCGCCCACCCAATAGGCTACTCTGTTGCAGTGGAAGTTACAAAGAAGAAGAATAATCGCCTGCACATATTATACTAGTGGAAATGTTGAACATTGTTGGCGAGCGGGAGCGACCCAACTTGGGTTTTGCCCGTGATGTTCGGGCTGCATAACGTGCCGTCAGCGCACAGCTTTCCTTTCGTGAAGCAAGACTGAGCTACCTGTCGCCGTTACATAACGTATTGTACATTGGCAGAACGGTGAGCAGGTGAGCAGACGGTACTTACCTTACGCTTTCAACTCGTCAGTCGTGGTTCACCAGGCAGCTGGCATGCAGCAGTACATGTGCACGAGCAATCCTAGCGTATTTGCAAGTTGCAGCTTGGAACCATGAAGATTGGGAAGAGGTACAGCCTCGGTCAGTCACCGAAGGCTGCAGCGCATGCCGTCGAATAGAGGAGAGTTCTCTAGCTGGCTATATAGATCGATCGGCGCATATCGCGAGGCACCGTGTGTGAAAATGTGTAACAATTTGGGATAAAAAGAAGCGCGTACAAAGACGCGCATGCGCACTTACACGACGTACGACGGTCGTATATATATATATATAATTGGCGAGCGGGAGCGAGCTAACCTAGTGGTACGAACGGCGCGGAATTTTCCTCATATAACATATAGAGTAGCTCATCAATTATCGGACACCATCACCCAGACACAGCCATTTCTCTCGGACCAGACAGAGTTAGCTATCCTCGCTACGTTCAGTACCTCAGAGGGTGTCACTCAACAGGCATGCACGGTACCAGCTTCGGCAGAGGGACAGTAACGCTACGGCGGCACAAAGATCGCTCACTGTCCGAACCACCGTCAGTCGGAACATGGCCCCTATGTTCGGACAGTGCATTTTAAAGCTAAAGAGACAGCGCTATGTACTCAGAAAATGCGCTTGTCTGTTCCAACCGATTGCGCATGCGCATTTTAGGTAAAATAACGCGGATACTAATTCCAGAAGGGACGAATATAACTCGCCTTGCCCTTGCAGTGAGTTGTAGGTAGACAAGACATTGCGGTCCGATAATTCGAAGGTGTCCGATAAAGAGTGGTGTCCGGTGATTGATGAAGTACTCTATATATATTTATCTACGACCGTATGTCGTCCAACTGCGCATGCTCCAGGATTACGCGCTTCTTTTTATTTCACAATTTCACATGCTGCCTGCCGATGTCGTGCGTATACATGTGCATATAGTCCGGGGAAGATGCCCTTCGTTCGTCGAAGAGAGTGGGAAAGAGAACATCGTGCCCGTGAGACTCCTGAGCAGAGAGACTCGTTTGTATCAGCGTCGCTTTCGTGATAGGGAGCGCGCATATTTTTACACGCTGCCTAGCGATGCGTCTATTTGCTGGCATTCGCTGCGCTCTTCGATACCTGACCGAGGCTGTCTATACCTCCTTCCAATCTTCGTGATTCTAAGGTTGAAGTTGTAGGATGGCTCGTGCAGATAGAGTCATTGCGTGCTCGCTCCCGCTCGCCAAAAATGCCATGCATTCGTCTACTAGTTATATATACTAGTGGAAATGTTGAACATTGTTGGCGAGCGGGAGCGACCCAACTTGGGCGCGATGTTCAGGCTGCATAACCTTCCGTCAGCGCACAGCTTTCCTTTCGTGGAGCAAGACAGATCTACCAGTCGCCGTTACATGCGTACTGTACATTGGCAGAACGGTACTTACCTTATGCTTTCATAAGTCGTGGTCCACCAGGCATGCAGCAGTATCTGCACGAGCAATCCTAGCTTACTTTGAAGTTGCACCTTCGAACCATGAAGATTGGGAAGAGGTACAGCCTCGGTCAGTCACCGAAGGTTGCATCGCATGCTGTCGAATGGAGAATTCTCTGGCTGGCTATATAGATCGATCGGCGCATATCGCGAGGTAGGTAGCGTGTGTGCGCAAAAATTTGAAAATGATTTCGAAGCGCGTAAGAGGCCGCGCATGCGCAGTTACACGACGTACCAACGACGATATATATGATATACCGAAAATTCCGCTCGAACGAACGACTAGGTTGGCTCGCTCCCGCTCGCCAATTATACACTGAAAGTAGGGCGGAAAACGAAACCGGGGAGAAGCGTAGTCTCCCGCGCTGCACTCGCAGTTTTGTCGCCCTGGAAGGGATACACGAGGCGTGCCTGCGTGTCCGAACTGGGAGCGCTCTAATTACCTGTATATACGGCCACGCCCAAACGCGCGTGGCCGGCCGACACGGACCTTTATGACGTACGACATTTCCAAAAGCCCGTGATTTCCAACTGATTTCTACTGATTTCCACCTGACTTCAACTTATTTCCAGTTCCATGATTTCTAGAGATTTCAAGATTTACGATTGATTTCTACTGATTTCCAGTGATTTATAATGATTTCTCGATATCTTGAGGGTGTGGCCGGCCGGCCGGCCGGAACGAGTGACTTGCTTGTGCGCACGCCGCAGCAGGGTCGGCCGTCAATATATGCAATGCAAACGGTACGGCCCGCCGGGGAGCTAGCTATACACGGAGCAGAAAGGCGGCGCGCGCACGGCAACTTGATTTCTGATTTCCACTTTTCGCTGATTTCCCTTGATTTCCAACTGGATTTCTGACCATGAGCGTATATATGAAGATCCCCGTGTCGGTGATCGAGGAGGAAACTGCTTGCGCATGCGCAAACTGAGGTTAAAGGTCAGTCCAGTAAATGGTCCAGTCCAGTAGTAGAGTCCAGTCCAGCGATTACACAGCCTTTTGGCGGTGTTGTTTCTTGAAATTCTTATTCTCTCAATGGTAAGGCACCAAAGATGTGCGTGTATGTGTGTGTGAAGCTATGTAGTAGTAGAATAAAGAGGGTACTATTGGGTATTCAAAAAGTGCAGTTCTCACTTTTACTAAGCCACAACTGATGATACGTACGTATACCTACTTCTATGCAAGGCACCACTCCTGTGTGTTAAACTATGTAGTATATAGTAGAAGCAGGATGTAGGCCTGAATAATAGGTAGGACCCTATTTAGCATAGGGGCCCACAAACTCTATCTACTACGCAACAATGATACGTTATTTAGGTAGTTGCATAGGGGCCAAGATTCGCCCAAATTGCGTGGGCGTCGATATTTTAGTTATTTTTTTCAATAGCATGGTTTAAAACGCTGGTGAATTATAGTGAATTTTGGTACCTTCTCGGATTTTTCACTCTTTGTTTTACAAGCTCATTAGCATATTCATATTCCTCCTCCATACATTCTCTATGGGAGAGAAAACTTAGTGCGCGACTTCACCGGGAGCGAACTGTCTCTACTGTGCGCAGTGGTTTTCTCCGCCTCCTACGGTACGCGGAAGCGTATTAGAGCTATTCAGAAAAAATGGGCGTAGCCCATGCGTGGCAAAGTTCAACGAATACGTAATACTCAAAACGTGGCCACACCCATTTTTGAAACTGGGCGCCTGCGCGTACCGTAGGAGGCGGAAAGAACGCTACTGCGCATAATGGCGAGGAACCGTTCGCTCCCGGTGAAGTCGCGCACTGGTTTTCTCTCCCATAGAGAAGGTACGGAGGAGGAATATGAATATGCTAATGAGCTTGTAAAACAAGGAGTGAAAAATACGAGACAGGTACCAAAATTCACTATAATTCACCCCATGCTATTGAAAAAAATATCTAAAATATCGACGCCCACGCAATTTTGGCGCATCTTTTAACTCTATCTACTATGCAACAATGATACGTGTACCAACTTCTCTCAGATATCTCTGTGCTTTCAGTAGTAATGGCTGAAAAACCGCAAGCAACAACCGAAAAGCCTGGAAATCCAGCTCAGCTAGCACTAGAGTAAGCTATCTGAACGCAGCTGTCATGTCGGTGTGTCTGAGGAGTACAGCAGACCCAGAGTACTGCCCTACGTGGAGGAGCTCACGATCTACCGTCGTGACTTGTCGGCATGAAAGCAGACGATCGCTTGATGTCCGTGCACACCTCATGGCGAATCTGGAACGTTTGATGGAAAAATCAGCGCTTCAACTATTTCGGTAACGAGATATGCGGGTTACTGAAGAAGAAACCGGAAGATGAAGAATATGATGATGATGATGATGATGATGACACGAAAACTCGTGAAATCGCGTAAGAGGCAATTCTCTCGTGGGGAACTGAGGGCACGTAGGAAGTCTTGGGGAGTATGTATAGCTAGGTATGGCCTGTATACTATGCTAGTGATTTCAGCAATGGTGAGTCTTTCTCTCGCCAAGTTTTGAGGCGTTTTTGTACGCGGATCACGTGAGATTTCACCCGTGTCATCCCTATATAGAGCGTCTACCGACGCTCTGATTAGAGCTATTCAGAAAAAATGGGCGTAGCCCCATGCGTGGCAAAGTTCAACGAATACGTAATACTCAAAACGTGGCCACACCCATTTTTGAAACTGGGCTTTAATACGCCTGCGCGTACCGTAGGAGGCGGAAAGAACGCAACTGCGCATAATGGCGAGCAACCGTTCGCTCCCGGTGAAGTCGCGCACTGGTTTTCTCTCCCATAGAGAAGGTACGGAGGAGGAATATGAATATGCTAATAAGCTTGTAAAACAAGGAGTGAAAAATACGAGACAGGTACCAAAATTCACTATAATTCACCCCATGCTATTGAAAAAAATATCTAAAATATCGACGCCCACGCAATTTTGGCGCATCTTTTAACTCTATCTACTATGCAACAATGATACGTGTACCAACTTCTCTGCAGATATCAGTGTGCTTTCAGTAGTAATGGCTGAAAAACCACAAGCAACAACCGAAAAGCCTGAAAATCCAGCTAAGCTAGCACTAGAGAAGCTATCGAACCAGCTGTCATGTTCGGTGTGTCTGGAGGAGTACAGCAGACCCAGAGTACTGCCCTGCCTCCACGTCTTCTGCGAGGCCTGTCTGGAGAAACTGGTGGGGACACAGAGAGACAAATTGAGCGCCTTGTGCCCCAACTGCCGCAAGCCCGCCCCTCTCCTTCAAGGGGGCGTGTCCAGCCTCCCCTCCGCCTTCTACATCCAGCACCTTTTGGAGGTGAGGGAGGTCTTGGAGAAGGTGCGTGACCCGGAGAAGGCGCAGTGTGACAAGTGTGGGGAGGGAGAGGTGCAGGGTTTCTGTCGAGACTGCGGCCAGTTCATTTGCCAGCACTGCCTCATTACGCATCGTAAATGGAAGAATTGCAGGGGCACGAAATATCCACCATCGACCAAGTTCAAGAAACAGCCTCGAAAATGGTGACACCCAAAAAGGTGAGCTCCATGTGTTCCAAGCATGCAACAGAGCCCATCAAGATCTACTGCGAGACGTGCGATGAGCTGATATGTCGCGACTGCACCGTCAAGACCCATCGCGACCACAACTACGACCTCGTCCCTGATGCCTTCCCCAAGCACAGAGATGCCATCCTTGCCTGCCTAGGTCCCGTCAAATCTGAACTTGCTAGTGTAGGGAGCACCATTGCACGGCTGAAGGCAAGGTCCAGCAGCCTCGATGGACAAGGTATAGAGGCCAAGACACAGGTAGATGCCGAAGTAGACAAGCTCCAGGCCATCCTAGAGGCTCGCAGGAGGGAGCTTCACTCCCAGATAGATGGTGAGGTGTGTCAGGGGAAGAAGGAGCTGGCGGCCCGGATTGACGGACACGAGTTGAGGCAGGCCCAGCTGAGCAGCTGCGTGGAGTTTGTGGAGGGTAGTCTGCAGAGTGGCACACAAGAGGAAGTGCTGTCGATGAAGAGACAAGTGGAGGAGAGGGCACGGGAGATGGCAGAAGAGTTCAAACCTCAGCAACTGGTGTTGGGTCCAGAGAAGGAGATTAGTGTTGTGTGGGCAGACTTGAGCTCAGCATGTCAGACATTAGGAGAAATGAAGTTCGAGACGGTCCAGTTTAAAAGTACTTATGTTAAGACCATTGGTGAAGTAAACCGCCCACGTCACATTGCTTTTGCCAAAACTGGGGAAACCGTTGTCTGTGAGCGAGGTGCTAACTGTATGAAAGTCTTTGACAGTAATCACAGGCTGTTGAGATCATTTGGAAACACAGGACAAGAGGAAAACAGACTTATTGGACCAAGAGGAGTAGCCATATCTTCTGATGACACAGTGTTTGTAGTCGGTGGGAATCACTGTGTGAAGAAATTCACTCTCGAGGGTCAGTTCATAGCATCAGTGGGTTCAAAGGGCAGTGGGGGACTGCAATTTGGCACACCATATGCCATAGCCTACAACCACACCAACAACAGAGTGTATGTCTGTGACACTTTCAACCATCGCATCACAATCCTCAACCATGACTTGACATTCCATGGCAGCTTTGGAAGTAGGGGAAGTGAGGTAGGTCAATTCAACCAGCCTTATGGAATATCTGTCAACAGAAGAGGAAATGTATTAGTAGCTGACGGTCGGAATAACAGAATTCAGATTTTCGATGCCAATGGCCATCATCTGTCATCCATCACTAACACTGGAGCAGGAGAGAGACTAAGAGGACCAGTCAGTGTGGCAGTTGGACCTGATGACTGGGTGTATGTGGTTGAATATGACTATCCCAGAGTATCAGTATTTGATGAGAATGGCAAGTACATCAAGTCATTTGGGAAGAGAGGGAACAAAGATGGAGAGTTCAGTGGGCCGTATGCCTAGCTGTCAGAGATGATGGTTATGTCTTTGTCGGTGACACAGCAACAATCGAGTTCAAATATTCAAGTGACACAAAACACATAGAACAATGCCACAAAATTTCACCCGTTAAACTCTTTGTGTGCAATTTGTATATCTACGTATTAACTGCTAAATATTGCAGAGAAGAAATTTTTCAAATTTCAATTTCAATAAAAAAAATTAAAGCGCAAATCTACAGCGAACTACAAACACACTCGCCCAATTGTTACATCTCCCATTGCATGTTTCACGAGCTGCACGCCAGTCATGGTTTCTTGCTAGCTAACTCAGAGTCTGAAACAGTAGCTCCTACACTAGTAGGTAGAGTTTTAGGAACAAGTTGAATTATGGCAATGCTCCTCGTTAGCATAGTTATTGTCTTTGTTGACTTGCTTTTCAATCCGTAACTATTTGCGAAAAAATCAAGGCAGTGTAGTGCTGAAACTGGTGGTATCGCTATTTTCTGCAGCGTCCTTCAGTGGATGAACTGCCCGCCAATTTTTTACCGCCTTCAAATCACAAAATACAACCTGCAGCACTTGTTAATGTTGGCTCCACCCACAGCTGCCTTCCTCCCTTAGAAAAAACCCTGTTGTAGGTAAGTTACCTCTGAAGGTATCCCAGTTGCTGAGCTTTTCTTGAAGTGGACTTGAACATCTCTGACACTGTAAGAAACAGAGAGAGAATATGAAACTGTATTGCTGACAAAAGTTCATGGAATAGTAGATCTCAGAAACACAAGACCATTCAGTCACTGCAGACCTTCATCAGTTAGGCAATGCAAAAATCCATGAAAATAGGAATAGTGTAACGTGAACTTAAAAGTTAACTGTGGCTCCAAATATCATAGCACACAGCTAAAAATATTAAAGAAATTTGGTGGAGTATGCTATATTCATACCTTTCCACCCTCAAACTGCCAGAGCTGTGCGGGGTCTTGCTGATGGGGCAGACACACCCACAGTCGGTCCGACCAATCAAATGCACAGCTCCACGGAGACACAGACAGGGTGACTGTGGCAGGTGACCTTTTGAACCTTCCATCAGATGACAGCTGCAACACAGCCAGCTCTGAGGCCCTGGACACACAAATAGGCGTTCATTAGAGGTTGATCCAACTGAGACCAAAATAAATACTTATGAAAGGTAGGGAGGCAAAATAAAAGCCCTGTGCCTGTTTGCTAAGCTCCAGCAAGATGTCTTCAAGAAAGGTTGACTGCCTTGAGCCTCTCCATGTCGCCAAATAAAATTTGGTATATTGAATCGTGAATCACTCTCTAGATTCTGTTCTGTGGACTGCTGTTTTTTTCCTGCTCCGAGGGGCTATAAGATGTAAATTGCTCTATTGGCAAGGTGTGACCCAATACTGCACCAACACTGCAGATGTGCGAGTCAACACTAATATTTAATTTACTGGTGTCCGTCTTACTTTCCAGACTCACATTCCAAAAAATTCATTGAGCCTACATGTGCCCGTGAATTATACGCCCAAATTGTTACTGCAAAATAATTAACCCTCACTGTTGAGGGGGATGACGGGCTTTGAATTTTCTGTTCCCATTATATGTGCATAGTAGGTGTGGTTGGAATAGTGTTTATAACTTTGCAGGGGTGGTTGGAATGTGCAACAGATGAACGATGAGAGTTGTGTGTCTGTTGAGTCTCCTCTGGTCTCTGGTGGAGGTCCACTCTCAGACCTTTCCTTATGTCTCCTTCAATGGTCAGGCTCTGGCTCTGGCCAACCATTCCTATGTGGACCTCAGTCTAGTGGGGAATCATAGCAGTGGTAGTGACAGTGTTCAGTGTCATACTGACGTCAGCATATGTTGTAGTAGTACTCAGGGTCATTATCGTGGAGACTGGTATTTCCCTGATAGAACAAGATTGCCATTCACTGGAAATGGCGGTATCCATGAGACTCGTGGAACTTCGAGAGTTGACTTACGTCGTAACCATGGTACCTCACCAACTGGTATCTATCGTTGTAATATCCCAACTATTGCTGTCCATGGTGGTACTGACATCTCAGTGAGAGACACAGTCTATGTGGGACTGTATACTGGCAGTGGAGGTAAATGCTTTGTTACGTACTTCAATAATGGGTGGCTAAAGACTAAAGAGCATGAAATCGTTGTTCATGGCTGGTTGCAGAAGCCCATTCTCTCACCTATTGATACCTTGTACATAGCTAATAGTCAAGTATGTGCTGAGTTGGCATGGCATGGGAACTAAAAATTGACTCTAGTGGGACTCTGGGTTCTTGGTTGGCTGATTTTCACCAGCATTTCACTGTAGGGGACATCACGATATCTGGAGATGTGATCTTTGACTCTGACCAGCTGACCCTCACCTGTATCTCATCTGGTGGACCTGCTACGACTGTCACTTGGACCAGAGACTCCACCACTGTCACCCAAGGAAACCAGACTGTGTTGAATGACCCAGTGACTGCACAGTACACCCACACTCTGACTGTGACTACTGCAGGAGAATACACTTGTACTGTGTTTAATGACAAGCCATCATCTGCTTCCTCTACAATCTTTGTAGCAGGTATTATGGTACAGTTTCTTCAGTGCTATTTGTAAAAGCTGGCTGACTAGGTTTTTATTAATGCCAATGGACTTGTTTATATGCTCCAGTTGCGTCGCCTCCAAATGGTGTGACAGCAGTCCGTGGTCCCACTAGTATCACAGTGACCTGGACTCCTCCCTCTCCACTGGGAGATACTACTGGCTACAGGATCTCCTACACCACAGGCAGTAATGTGTATATTGATGTTGGCTCTACCAACAGCTACACTCTGACTGGTCTCACCAATGGACAGACATACACCATATCCATTGTTGCAACATCATCATCTGGTCTGCCTAGTGCACCATTGGTGGCCACAGTTAGTTTAGGTATGTCATAGCTTACACAGATAGGTATTTCAGTTTACAATGAGCACCACACAAACAATCTATTTTCTCAGTGTGTGTACTCAGATATTTTGCTCCCACAACAGTTCCATCAGCTCCATACATTGACTCAACTCCAACAGTCACTGCCACTACTGTCACCATCACTGGTAATGTCCCCAGTGACTCGGTGGTGACTGGCTTCTCAGTCCAGTGGCAGAGAGACACCTCAGGTGGCTGTTCTAATGAGGATGAAGGAAGCATTAGTGCATAGCTGATTTGAATTGACCAATCAGATTTGTTAGTACGAGGTTCCTGATTTCTCATATGAACCTCGTGAGCTAACAAAAGTAACATGAAAACATGATATGAAACCTTGTTTTTTCTGTTGATTTTCAACAAGTTCAACAGCATTTCATGTAAGAAATGTATCCCGCAAAACATGATCTGCACAAAATGTTGATCAAAATAACTGATATCTTGATTTTCTTTTTCCACAAGACAGTTTTCTGTGTCTGTTTTGAGCCCATCTCCCTCCTTGCAATGTACAAACTAGATAGCCAGGCAGGCAGCTCACGACCGCCCACAAACCACCGCACGCAAATAAGGGGGTGGGGCTCCGCGAGCGAGTGCGCGCCGACAAAGCGAAACCTTGTTTTTTCTGTTGATTTTCAACAAGTTCACAGCATTTCATGTAGGAAATGTATCCCGCAAAACATGATCTGTACAAAATGTTGATTGCAACATAACTGATATCTTGATTTCTATTTTCACGAGCAGTTTCTGTGTCTGCTTTGAGCTCCATCTCCTCCTTGCCATGTATATACAGTAGTAGATAGCACGGCAGCTCACGCGCGCCACAACACCGCGCCGCACGCACAATAATAGGGGTGGGAGCTCGCGAGAGAGTGCGCGCGACTCTATATATGAGCTACTAAGTCGACGAGCGAACGCCTTCGGTGTATAGCAGGCGTCCGACAGCGCCTGATTCTCCACTCCTCGCTCTCTCTCTGATTGCTGATGGTATCGCGCAGGTCTCCTGTCGCGTTTCTCCGATGAGTGCGAGGACACCCCGCAGCGGAGAAGTAGCTACGAGCGGCGGAGCAGCGTATCCTAGCGTATGCGCGTCAATAGTTCCGCAGCGAGATGACGGTCTTGCGCTCTCGTCTCTTCTCGCATCTTTCAATTCCGTGCTTGGAAACGCGGCAGTGCGGCGTATACGGAGCTGATTTGCTCTGCACTAAACATGTTATGTACTCCGTATACTCGGGACATACCGGATTCCAATGAACCCTCAGCCTCCGCGTAGTGCCCTCGCTGCGCTCGGGACACTACAAACGCGGAGGCCCTCGGGTTCATTGAAATCCGGTATGTTCCTCGCACGTAGTACATA